AGGGGTTGTAGTAATCTGTACGTTCTCACTAAAAATATCTAAGGAGAGAGCGGAATTGTTGAAGACCCTTTGGTTTCTCTCCTTCTAAAGACTCCAAAGTAAAGCATGAGCTGCACAGCTCCACAAAAATTTTCCTTTACCTTTCAACCGCCCTTGAGTCAGTTCTAAAAGCCAATCCTCAATTAACTGGGGTAGGCAACTGGAAGTACCACACTTTCTCATGATGGAAGACCACCCTTTACAAGCAAAGGAGCAACGAATGAAGAGATGATCAATATCTTCTGCATTTTGAAGGCATGAAGAGATGATCAATATCTTCTGCATTTCGAAGGCATAAAGGGCAGACCGAGGGGGACATCACCCAATTTGGAAGCTTTTTCTGCAATTTCTTATGAGTATTAAGGCTTCTATAGGCAACGCTTCACAGAAACACTTTAACCTTCATTTTTTCTTCTTGAATGTTGCTTTTCTATGTTTTTTGTTTTGTCTTTTCTCTTTTCTTCCCTCTTTCGAGAGTTTATATTTTTGAACAATTTTTTTTTTGTTTCTTTTCATATATCAATGAAAAGTTCGTTTCTTGTAAAAAAGGGTTTGTTTATCATATTTTATATTTTATTTTCAATATTACATTTTAAAAAACCAGTCAATACTTTTTATAAATTGTGATTACATTTCTTCTTGTTCTTTTCTTTGGTTTTTGCAGGACCAGGAAATGATGTGCAGGTTGGGCAACTTCTTCAATGTGTTATTAGAAGCATTGACAAAACTCGCAAAGTAGTTTATTTGAGTTCTGATCAAGATATTGTGTCCAGATGTGTGGTAATATCCTTGTGATATATCTTCTTCATTTGCTATGCTACTTTGTTTTTTTTTTCTCTTAGGGAATTTTTCTTCCATCAATAATTATCCTGATCCATTATTATCACTACTTCAATTCACAAATGTTACAGGCGAAGGATCTAAAAGGTATTTCAATTGACCTCCTCGTCCCTGGAATGATGGTTAGTGCACGTGTACAATCAACCCTCGAAAATGGGATCATGCTATCCTTTCTGACTTATTTTAATGGAACTGTGAGTCATTATCGACCTTGTAACTTGTTTCAACAAATCGATGCATTTAGGATCCTGACTTAATTATTATTCTTCTTCATTTTTGTAAACGTTCCTATTTATTACTTTGTTAGACATGCGTTTGTTATCAATTACTTTTTTTCAGGTTGATATGTTTCATTTGCAAGATAGTTTTCATTCTTCAAATTGGAAAGCTCATTACAACCAGAACATGAAGGTATCATGTGAAATTATTGGCTACTTTGTCATTGTTTATTACGTTCTATCTTATAAATCCTTACCACAATGATGCCAAACTCGTGCCATATCTTGGATTTTTCTCTAAATTGTAGTATTTCTACTCTTATCTCCAAAAATCAATTTTAAATATGTTAATCACGAGTAATCCAAGTTTCTGTGGATTCAAACTCCCTAATACCATCTAATTGGGATATAAAATATTCCATGAGTCTGTGTTCGGTGCCAGCCTAATTTTTTAAGTAATAGAATATATGTATATGTATGTATGTATGTATATATGTGTGTGCGTGTATATATACATATGTATGTATGTATGTATGTATGTATAACTTTTTTTTCTTTTTTGATAAGAAACCTGAAAGAAGTATTACTTACAAAAAAAACAGAGTTACAAACTAAGGTCACAGGGTAGAGGGAGCCCCCTCCTGTAAAACTAACTCAAGAAAGAACTCCAATTTTGGAGGATCGAGATGAGGGAGTAATTACAAAAGAATTTGATACAAGTGTAGCACCACCTAGAAGTTGTGAGCTGTACAATGCTCCAAAGATTAGTTAAATTATAAGTATTCTCGAACGATCTTTGGTTTCTTTCTAACGAAAAATTCCACAAAGTAGCCACCATAGCATAGCTCCAAAGGGTTCTCGCTTTGTGGTTGAGATAATCACCACCATGAGACTGCATGAACCAATTATCCATTGTCTTTGGGAGGCACTAACTAATATTGAAGATATTGAAGAGGAGGGACCAACAGTTTCGGCATAGGGGCAGTGAAGAGTAATATGATCTAAAGACTCTTCAACTGCTAAGCAAAGGTGGCAAACCGAGGGAGAGAGGGCCCAATTTTTGCACTTCTTTTGTAATCTGTCATTAGTGTTCAACCCCCTGTGAGCCACAGACCACAAGAAGGCTTTTTTCTTCTTTGGGTATCTAAAGTTCGATATGGTTGCAAGAATCGGGGACTGCTTGCCGAGGTCTAATCAACTTGAGCAATAGAATAGAACTAGGTCCATTGTGCTTTATAGGTGACTTGTGAATGATTATGCCTAGTATTACTTTCCCAGCTTGTCTTTTATTGAGCATTAAATTAAGTACCGTAGATTTTTGTCTTTTTTGAGCTCCTCTAGTGTGTATTTTTGATAACTTTTGATTTTTTTTTTTAAAATAAAACCACTTTTGATGGAATTATAAATTAGAGTGTGTTTATTGTAGCTTCTTAAGTGATTTTAAATGACTTAAAATGTTATTTAAAAATCCTACCGTGTTTAGTTATTAATGAAAATATAGGTGACTCGGGAATGATTGTGCCTTGTATTATTTTCTTGGCTTGTCTCTTATCGAATGCTTGAACAAGATGTGGACTTCTCATTGATTAATTGAAAGGAACAAAATTGTTCAAAGGATACAATCTCCAAAGGGAGAGAGAAAAAAACAAAACAAAGAAAAGGGGGAGATAAGGAACCAAAGAAGAGATACAACCTAGTACGGGCTAATCCATGCGCAAGTGCATGCAGTCGTACAATGTAATAACAAAAATATTCCAAGTATCATCTCTGGGACTCTATAAAGAACAGTCGGATTCGTTAGGATACTGATTGAAGTTAATGGTCAGGATAGCAGTCACATTTATGGGTCAGCTTTCTAAAAGAATTTTGTCAATAATCCAAAAGTTTCTGTTGTAATCTCTTGCTGTCACGTTGATTTCCTAATGCTTACTATAAGCGTTAGTCTCTGTTTTAATATATAAATTGATAACTATTATTGGTAATCAGGAAGGTTTTGGATGAAAGAGAATAAAAATCTCTCCAAGAACACTACCATTCTTCTCCTGACATACCACAAGCTTTGTGAATATTAATTAGTTTGTAGGATTTTATTCGTATGGTTCTTTTATGTTTTTTCCCTTTCTCAATGCAGACCTTTGGTGATATATTGTTGCCTCTGCCACTTAGTTAATTGTTTTTCCTATGAACTGGTGTTGTAAGCCCATTTCTAATTGATGATATATGGTCAATTATTTTTGTTACCTGAACCCGATCAATTGAGTTCTTCCTTCCATTACATTAAGGAAATGTATTTCCTTTCAACAAAAAATTTCTTTCTTCGAGTTATGTTTCCTGGTATTTTATCAAATATTAATATCTTTTTTCTTATGTAGGTCAATGCTCGGATATTATTTATTGATCCGTCAACTAGAGCTGTGGGGTTGACCCTGATTCCACATCTTGTCCATAACAGGGCTGCACCTCCAGTAAGTTAGTTACTTATCTAAAATATGTCTGAAGAATCAACAAGTGGTAGTTACAACTAGAAGTTGATTGATATTAAATTATTGATTAGGTTCAATGACTCTCATTAGGTGTTTATTCCTAAAGAGCTTATATATTAATTATCCTTTAGCTCTTAAATGATTGGACCCCCCTTTAGTATCTTTTATGTTATTTTGTACTTTTTGTTTTTGGTTTAGGCTCCTTTTGTTTTGGCTGGTCTGCTTTAAGTCCATTTGTCTATTCTTTCAATTTTTTTCAACAAAAGTTTTGGGTTGTCTTTTTTGAATCCATTTTAGGCTCTGTGAGAGCCTAATAGGGGTATATAGGGAGTACTTTTAGTATGTTAGGGAAGGGACAATATGGTAATTAGTTAGGGGTAAGTTGGTTATAAATAAAGATAGTAGGGGAGAAGGAGGGTATCTTGGAGAATAGTATTGTGTGGGGAACTTGAGAGAGTTCTTGGGAGAGAGATAACCCTCTCAAAAGGCTATCGATATTGTAATTTCTCTTTGGATTTGTAATATAGTTTTCTAGTTAGGTTCTTGTATTTGGGATCTTAAAAAATTGGTATCAGAGCAAGTTTATCCTGGCCAATTGGCCATGGATCTCCCATTCGAGACTGTGATGAAGTTACGGAGAATGTTGAGAGAAATGAAGGAACATTCGAATGAAATGGGACGAATAATGAAAGAAATGCAAGAGGGGTTTACAATTAGAGAGCAAAAAGAGAGATCAAGGAAGGAAGAAGCAATCACAAGGAGCATTCGGAAGCAGGGACGAAAAGTTGCTGAAGACCAGTTAGACCCAAGAACGTGGATTAGAGTTCGATGGAAAATGAATCAAGGTTGGGGAGTGTCGTTGTGTAGGGATGCCTCGAGAATAGAGAATAAAAACTATCCTCAAAAGAGTATGAAGAAGCTAAGGAGGAAAGGAAGAAGGCAACGATAAAGAAGCTGTTGCAAAAGGAAGAATGAAGAAGAAATCAAATGTCCAAGAAGGAAGGGCACGAGTCTGAAGATGGTTGAATCTGATTTGCATGGAAGCTTTTCGATGAAGAAGCGAAAAAATATGAGAGAACGAATGTCAGGAAGGAAGGCTCGAATGCAATTTGAAAGAGATCGGCGACAAAATTTGAAGATTGAGCACGAGGGAATGGAGAAGATACAACTTGCGACGGAAGTTGGACGTTCGAAGGGAGATCAGCCATTGTTGCTTTTGTGGCAAGAAGCAAAAAGCCGAAGGGGAAGGGGTTTTAGTACCGGTGAAGCTCAGGGAGAATTGAAAATCATGACAAAAAATGAAAGAAAACAAAGAAATGGGACTGTTGGAAGACGTTGCGGGCGAATGTAGGAGTGGTTGGAGGGCGTGGTCGGAGTTACAGGAATGGTGGTGCCGCTGCTGCTTACGTTCCAAAACTCCAAAGGTGAAAAGAAAGGCTGCATACGTGGGGTGTCATAATTTTTCTGTAGTCAAATATGCTAAATGCTAAAGGGAATGGGCTGAAATTGGAAGGTGCCAAGGGGAATGGGCTGGAGTTGGATAAAATGGTTGAGACCCAAGACTTTTCAAAGATAGAAAAGGAGATAGAAATACAAGATGGGTTTTGGGCCAGGATGTTCTTGATTTTAAACCTAAAATCTAAACTAATCCTAATTGCCACTTCACCATTTTTTCCCCTAAGCAGCAGACCTTCCAACCTACGTCGTTGCCGATCGCCGCCTGTTGCACGCCACCGATCACCGATCGCCATCACCCACCACCTGTGCCTCCACCGTCGTTTGCCGCCGCCACCGTCCGCCACTTGTCGCCACCATCCTACGTCCACACACCATTGCCGCCATCGTTGGTTGCGCCACCGTCTGTCGCCGCCACTGCCCCACCAGTTCGCACATCATCTAAATCTAGGGTTTTCTTAGTTGCTATTTAGCTGATCTTCTAGTTTTGTTGGTGTTAAAAGTTAATTTGTTTTTGTGTATGCACACCTTGAGGACAAGGTGTCTTCGAAGGGTCGGGTAATGTGAGAGTCCTAATAGGAGTATATAAGGAGTATTGTTAGTATGTTAGGGACGGGGCAATATGGTAATTAGTTAGGGTTAAATTAGTTATAAATAAAGATGATAAGGGAGAAGGCCATCGAATTGTAATTTCTCTTTGGATTTGCAATATAGTTTTCTAGTTAGGTTCTTGTATTTGGGATCCTAACAAGCTCCAGTGTTGTATTGTGTATGTGTGTGTGTATCCATATATTTTAGTTTATCTTCTTTTTGTTTTGGGTTGGTTTTCTTAGGTCCATTTGTGGATTCTTCATTTTTCTCAATGGAAATTTGTCTTTTTCATGCAAACGGAATAATAGCTTCTTCCACAAATATGCAAATGCCAAGACAAAGAACAGTCTAATTACGGAAATTTTATAAACAAATAGGGAAGAAGTGTGGACAGAGGAGGGGTGATTAGTGAAAAGTTCATTCAGTTCTTTCTAAAGCTCTATTCCAAGCAATCTTGCGACTAACTTGAGCATTAAAGGCATTGAGTCGAATCCCATCCCATCTGATAAAAGCGATGATTTGGATGCCCTTTCAAGGAAAATGAAATTAAAAGAGCAGTTGACGATCTAGGAGCTAATAAAGCCTATGGGCTCAATAGGTGTACCGGAGAGTTTATTAAAAAGTCTTGGAATATTATTAAAGGGGACATTTTCAAATAAAAGAAAAGTATTACAATGATATGACTTAAGTGGGATTGTTAATGGGCTTGGGCTGGGATTGAGAAAGAAAGAATGGTTTTAAAACACTATATATATATGTATGTATATATATTAATATATTTGGTTCGATTCGGTTTGGAGGTCGATTTCTTTATTTTCATATCAAAACTGAATATTTTGGTTTCAGAAATATTATAAACCAAACCAAACTGCCATACAAATTCAACTACCAAAATCGGCTAGGTTCGGATAAACTTTTGTCGATTTTATCGGGCTGGTCAGTTTCGTTGCACACCCCTACTCCAAAAGGTTTCTTCTTTGGCAGTCAACAAGAGAAGTGTGGTTTTGCATGAATTTTTATGCTCTTTGTGAATGGGAAGATAATCCCTTGATCCTTCTAAACCATCTAGCAGAGTTGTTTTAATTTGTACGTGGCTTCTTTTGAGTGGTGACACAACAGAAAATGTTCTATTCCATATGCGGATTATTTGTTTGAGTCCTTTCAGCTTTTGTTTGAAACCATGCCTACCATCAAGGGAGAGGAGTATTTTTCCACGGTGGGAAAGATGTTTTGATGCTGTAGCCATGTGTCCTTAAAAAAAGCGGTGTGGGGAAATAACATCTCTCAAAAATATCATGTTTTCTTTAGTGTCAGCACAAAGGAAATATTTTGTTGCGAATGAACAAGATATTGGCAAGGAGTGAAGCTGCTTTACCGAGTTGACGAGAAGAAGGAGCGTTGTGCTTTTAGCTCTTTCAATTCCCCACTATACTAATTGTGTATGTGAAACGGGTGCTAGGTGGGTGTCCGGATATCCCGACATGTTGGAGCTAGTTGGAGAGACATTATCTAGCCTCTATCTTCATGTGCTTTTAGCTCTTTCAAGCAGTTAGTTTCCCACTACTCTAATTGTATAAGTGAAGTGGGTGCTAGGTTGGTGTCAAGATATCCCAACATGTTGGAGCTAGTTGGAGAGACATTACCTAGCCTCTACCTGCATCAATGGTTGGCCCACCACTGGAAGTAGAGGACAGTAACCGAGTTGACTAAGAATCAATCGTTTACCTTGACTTTCCCCGTTTGTTGATGTGAGTAGATAGAAGTGTAAGGTAGTGATCTAATGTAGGTCTGTCTAGCTTTATCATTTGACAAATTTTTGATGATATTTTCTAATGCTAAAAATTTATCAATAAGGGTGAGAGTGGGGAGTGGGAGATTCCCTCAGGTTGGACCATGTAAAGTGCCCGTTATGGAGAGGGAGATCAATTAAAGCAGTTTTCTCAATGAAGGTATTGAAGTTACGCATGCTGGTGTAGGGAAGCTTCCTTCGGATTTTTCGGAAGACCAACGAGAAACATTGAAACTCCTTCCAACATTCCATCCTTGCACTGAGAAGATAGATATGATAATTCTTGGAAGAAATGAGGTATTTCTCTGGATTTGGATGGGCCATAGAGTCCAGCCAAAATTTAAAGCCATCAGCAAGAGAGATGAGAATAGAGAGAGAAGACACCTTTAGTGTATGTAACCACGAATGATGGTTGTTATACATAACCAGATAAACCAGATGCTTCCTAGCCACTGCACCTTTATGAATTATTATGATACTCTTGACTGCTGGTAAAATCTCCTTCTCCTCAATGGGACACCATATGCTCTAGATATGCTAGTTTAACAATTTTCTTTTATATTGGATTGGATGATTTCCATCGTTTTCTATTCTCGTAAATAATTTCATATTCATTGTACTCTGTCATTTCTTCCCCATTGTTGAACAAGAAACAAACTTTTCAGTAATATATATGAAAAGAAATATAGATGTTCGATCCCAAAAGAATGAAAAAGATTAGAAGCATGAAAAGAGAAGACATAAGATAAACAACTAAAGCTATAAAAAGGCTTCCCAAGGGGAAGATATTGTAGTAAGAGAGTAGTCTTGAACAATAGCGAGAGCAAACACCACTGGGAAGCTTTAAATTTTGCCGAATCTAGAATGTCGAACCAATCTCTCTTCTTATCTTCGAAGATCCTTTGGTTTCTTTCAAACCACAATTCATAAATTAAAGCTTTCACTGAATTACCATAGAAGCCGAGCTAAAGGCTTGACGTTGGGACCATTAAGAAGCTGATTTAAATTGCCTCTGGCCGAATCAGAAAAAACCCACTGGAGATTGAAGGAAGCAAGCAAAAGCTTCCAGCAGCTTGCTGCAAAAGGACACCAAAACAGTGCATGATTTTGAGTGTCTTCTCGTGCCATACAAAGCACACAAATGGATGGATGGAGAGCTAAAAACGGAAGATTTTTCTGAAGAACATTAGAGGTATTTAGGTTCCGAAAAAGGACTATCCAAGAAAACACCGAAACCTTCTTAGTACAGTCCTTATTTCATATGCCTGATTTTCCTAAAAGATTTTTTTGGTTGTCTAGAAGAAAACTTGTATGTTTTCGACAGAATAGTGTCCAAGTGTTCGAATCATTTTCCATTTTTTACATAGTAGTTATCTTACACACATGTTTATGTTGTACTAATATGTTTCCTATTTGTATATCAGAAACTATGAAAATAGCATCTTTGATTTAGTCTTCACTTAGTGATGCTGACTGTAGAAACATGCAGTCAGACATAGTGGAGATTTATTTAATTAGGTGACACATTTATATTGCTATTACTTTTGGTTCTTGCAGTGGTTCTTGGAATTAAATTGATTTCTTTGATTTTGTTCTTCACATATGATTGCTTTGTGAATAATTTTGGCCATAGTTTTCTTGAAATAATAAAAATGATTCAAAACTTGTAACATTTATCTGTCTCGTAAAGCTCTATAATCTCCTTGTGCACTTTGCCATGCATATATAAGGTTAAGTGGTTCATATCTTTAACCATGCAAAATGTCTCCATATTTCTGTATATTTCCTTATCCTTCTAGATACATTGTCTTTTTCGTCATTTACTTTTTACTACTCACTACTTACCACTGTAATGTGTGAATTTATTTTGTCTCATTTTCAATGTAGAATGTGAGAATTGGCGATATATATGATTCTGCAAAAGTTGTTAGGGTTGATAGAAGATCAGGACTGCTTCTTGAAGTAACCTCTTCTCCAGAGTCAACACCAACATTCGTCAGTGTAAGCTTCTTTAGTAGCTTTAGGTGTGTAGTACTATTAGTGCCTTCTAGTTAATTAGTTTATATCTACTGTAGGTCTCTGATATGGCTGAAGAGGTCGTGAAAAAGATTGAAAAGAAGTTTAAAGAGGGGAGTCATGTTCGTGTTCGCATTCTTGGCTTTAGACATTTGGAAGGACTTGCCATTGGGACTTTGAAGGTTGTGGTCTCTTATTAAATTTATAAAAAATGATGCATCATTAATATATTCGTAAATCACTAGTATATTGGTTTGAATTGTTTGGTAAGATGCATAACTGTATATCGGAAAAAGGTACAAAAGAATGAGAAGAAGACGAAACATGGCAAAGAGAAAAAGTTCCATTAGACAAAAAGAAACAAACAGAAATTTCATTTCATTTGATTTATTATTTTTATTGTTTAATATGAAACCAACTTGAAAATGGGAGAGAGAAACAGAAGCAGCCTTATAAAAAATGATGCTCAAATGAAGATGGGTTAAGTGAACCTACAAAAACAAATTTTTATGGTTGGCGTCCCCAAGCGGTGGCCCCATAAGCAAGAGCTTGGGGCCTCTTGGTCATACCGACTTAGAGATCTCAAGTTCGAACCTTTTGGATGAGCTCAATACCAAAAATCCTTGATGTTTCCTAGATCTAGACCTTGGGGCGGGTGTGGGTGTTCCCCAAGAATGGGGGAGAAAAGCTCCGACTTTCGATTATCAAAATTTTTTATTTTATTTATTTATTATTTATTATATTTTTAATGGCTGGTAATAGAAACAGGAAAGTTCCTAATTAGACTAGTTCAGTGAGAAATCTCCACACTTGAAAATACTCTTCTATTCCTTTCCAACTCTATATTCTAAAGAATCGTAAAAAGAATTAAATGCCATTGAACTCTTCCTTTTCGTAGAAATCCGTACATAAAAAAACTTTCCACATTCAATCATAATAACTTTGTAGAGGAGCACACGGGAAACAAAACGCCTTCAGAAAATTTTCCTGAATCTTACTTAAGAATGGACAAAAGTCGTTAAAGATGGTCAACAAGAAGCTTGTTTACATAAGAAACCTAAGAAGCACGGACACGGATACGGCGATACGCCAATTTCTAAAAATATAGGACACGGACACGTTGGGGATACGTTATTATTATTATTTTTTTTAAGATAATATATACATATGAATTGATTATATAATACTTTTGCATAAATTAACCACACAAATTGAACAAAAACAAATCAAAATATACTTAACATCACAAAATCCATTATCCAACCTACATTAAATTTAAAAAGAAGTGGTCGGAGACGGCAGCAGAAGTGGCCGGAGATGACGGCGGCAGAAGTTGTCGGTAATGGTGGCGATGATGGTCGATGGTGGAGGATGGTGGGTAGGGTTTTGTTGTTTTGGACTTTGGTGTAGGGTTTAGGGTTTTGTTGACTGTGGAAGGGTGAGGAGAACACAAAACAGAACACGAGGGTTTCTGTTTTATTAAGTTTTCTCTTTTTCTTTTTTTAATTCAAAATAGGTTGGGCCCAAGCCGTTTGGGCCGTGTCCCGTGTCCCTCACAGCGTGTCCCCGCGTGTCCGAGGAGTGTCTGAAATAAAAAAATAAAAATAAAAAATTGCACATGCCACGTGGCGTGTCGGACACGTGTCCGGGACGTATCCGGCCGTATCGGCGTCCGATACGCGTCCGATACGGACACTCCACCTAAAATGGAGTGTCCGTGCTTCCTAGTAACAAACACCATTGAGGTTCTATATCTTTGAATGAAATCATTGGTACCTTTAAACCTTTGCCGTATGTAGGTAATTTTGGCATTTTTTGTTTGTTTTATTTCTTCCTCTTTCCTTCTTTTTCTTTGCATCAGTTCACAATTATTTACACTTACAAGTAGATGCCCCGTTTGATAAGTGTTCATTTCTTAATAGAACATGATCTGATTTTTGAATTATGCAGGCCAGTGCCTTTGAAGGTCCGGTGTTTTCCTACTCAGATGTGAAGCCTGGGATGTTGATACGTGCTAAAGTTATTGTTGTTGATAATTTTGGTGCTATCGTGCAATTTCCTGGTGGTCTTAAGGCTCTGTGTCCTCTATGTCACATGTCTGAATTTGAAATTGCTAAACCTCGAAAAAAATTCAAGGTCATTACTTTAAACTGTTTCATTCAAAAAATAATATAATCTGGTATCTGGTTCTTCGTGCCAATGCAGTAAAATCTATTTTTTTGTTACATATGGCAAAAAGAACTTTTCAAAATCGGTATAGGGTTAATATTATCTGGGAATCTGTTATTTAGTGTACTTCTCATTGGGGTTCTAATGCGTTTTGTAACAATGCTCATTTTATTGCTTCTAATACTAAAGTTTTTTTTTTTGTAACCTTGAAAGATTTCTGTATATTTCATTAATATGAATGAATTACTTGTTTCTTATGCAAAATGGTTTTAGATGATTTGAAATTACAAAAGCGAAGAAAGCCAAGTCCTAAGCTTAAGGATATAACACAAAACTCATCCAATTGGTGCAATTAGTATCAATATCTTATTTTTGAAAGGAAACCCTAAAAAATCTCATAAATGAGAGTGTTAATGTCTCATTTTCTCTGTTAGTCAATGTGGTATACTGCATTCTCTGTTTTATATAGGAAACAGTTCTGATTTTTATTCTGCTATGTTTCAATAAAGTGTTTTTTTGGTTCGGAAGCTTCAAATTCTGTTGCCACGTCAATATGTAGGTTGGGGCTGAATTCATTTTCCGCGTGCTTGGTTGCAAGTCCAAGAGAATAACTGTTACAAACAAGAAGTCACTCGTATGTTCCTTTTAGCCCTAATATTCTTTTTATCTTACCTGTATTTATGTCTCTATTTTCTCTGTTAGTCAATCATATAAAATGTAATTGCTCTGGTTGTTGTCATTTATTAGTTTAGCAGGTGTTTTAGATGCATCATTTCAGTTAATTCAGATACATAATTTTTTCTTTTGATTTTTTTTTCGTGCTCATAAATAAATAGTGTGCTACGATGAATACCAAGATGATTTCATATTTTAACCAATAGGTTTGTGTTCCGACGAAGAGTAAATTATTATGCTGTATATATAGGTTGAGTTTTTTTCACCATTTTCCTTTTATTTCGTATGCCAATGTACCGTTGTGTTATCTGGAATGATTTCTTTGCTTCTTAAATATGGTTTCTTCCAAAGTCTTTATCATCTTAAAACCGAAAAAGGGAAAGTTATATCTTTCTTTGACTAATCGCCCATTCAGCTTTCTTACCACCTCAAATTTAGTCATTCTTCTAAAGGCTGAACTAGAGAGTGTCAATAGATGGATTGTAAAATGTATGTGAAGTTATCGTAATGTGGTTTATTTTTCTTTAGAATTTAGGAAGCCTGATGTTTCATCATTATCCCTATGGACTGACCTTTTTTCTATCCAAGAAGTTATTGAAGGAGTACAAAATTATAAGAAAATTGCAAAAAAAGTGATTGCGTGAATATGTATTGCAATCAGTGGTTGTTGCCATGTAGATGTTAGATTTTGAATAATCTCTTGTGAAATATGATTAAGTGTGATTGTAAGGACTCGATTTTTTGAGACAAAAACTATCTAGGGACATTACTACATGTATGCTTTGAACATTTAAGAAAAAGCCTTTACAAAATAAATAAATAAAAAGCAAAACAAAACAAAATATTCTTTCATATTATAACTTTATAAAATAAAATTAAAAAACTTTATTCGGGATCCTATAAAAATTTTCATAAAACATAATAATAAATAAATAACTTTTAATAAACAATTGAAATAATAAAAACAAGTGCATAAGGTTGATTGGAAAGATAAAGAAGAAAAAAGGTTTCTTTCTTAAGCTTGATCTTGAGAAGGCCTATGATAAGGTTGATTAGGGTTATCTAGACACCATCATGGACTACAAAGGCTTTGGTAGAAGATGGAGGATGTGGATTAAAGGCTGCATTTCTTCTATAAACTTCTCCATTCTTGTTAATGGCAAACCAAGAGGGAAGATTCTTGCGAGGGGGATTAGACAGGTAGATCCTCTCTCCCCTTTCCTCTTCACTATTTTTGGTGATTCTCTTAGTCGCTCCATTCATTATTGTTGTGAAAAGAGATTTCTTAGAAGTCCTTTGATAGGACATAATGAAGTGCCGGTAACTCACTTACAGTACGCTGATGATACTATTATTTTTGTCAGAATGATGGTGATAATATAAGGAGATGGTGGACCTTTGTAAACTTTTTCATGGCGGGGGCAGGTCTCTCCCTAAATTTGGAGAAGACTGCCTTGGTTGGTATCAACATTGAAAAAGAGGTGCTTTTACAACAAGCTGCGGTTTTTGGTTGTAGAGCCGAGTCTCTCCCCATTAAGTACTTGGGTGTGCAGTTGGGAGGTAACTACAAAAAGAGCTCTTTCTGGAATCACATTGTTGAAAAATTCAGGGCAAAGCTTGAAAATTGGAGAAACCTTTTGCTTTCAAAGGGGGGTCGGCTTACTTTGGCTCTCTCAATATTTAACAGCATCCCTCTTTATGCTTTCTCTGTGTTTAAAGCCCAAAAAAGAGTGATTTCGAAAATGGAGCAGATTGTTAGAAATTTCTTTTGGAATGGCAATGGTTGTCATCCCCCACGTCATCTTTGTGAGATGGGATAGAACGTTGCTGCCTCAGGTTTACGGTGGGTTAGGGATTGGAGCCTATGAACAGGGGAATAATACCCTGCTCCAAAAGAGGTTCCTCCAAGATGAGAATCATTTGTGGAAGCGGGTTATTTCAAGCATATATGGTAGGAACATTTTTTGTTGGTCCCCCCCCCCCTCCAAACGGGACTACAAAAGGAAGGCCTTGGGTGGAAATTGCAAAGATGAGCCACGGTTTTATGCAAAGAAAGATTGTACTGTGGCAGAGTGTTGGAATTGGGAGCAATATGATTGGAGTTTGGGTCTTAGAAGAGGTCTTAGGGAGATGGATAGTTGTGTAGTACAAAGAAGAATAAATGGCTACTAGTGGGAACTGTGTGCGTGAGGGAGGGAAGAAAAGAAAGCTTGCCGGAATTTGTAGGAGAGAGAGGAAGGGTTTTAAGTGATAGAAAACAAATTAAAAGAAAAATCATAATCTTCAAGTCTGCGGCTAAAGATGAAAAGGTTGCTAAGAAAATAACAGAAACACTAGATTTGATTTCAATTTGAAATTCAATGTTTGCAATTCAAACTTTGACTAGCGATACCATTCCTTTTGCCCTCCATTTGAGGAAATTTGACCATGCTGAGGATTTCTGGTCATCGGAATCCAACTTTTGGGATATACACTTTTGAAGAAACCTTAAGGATGCAGAGATTGTAGAACTGGTAGCTCTTCTACACAACCTATCTTCCCATCGACGATCGACCTACATCGACTAGGGATACCATTGTTTGGAGGTTGGAATCCCATGACTCTTTTACCACAAGCTTGCTCATCGAAGACCTTCAAAGCCTCATCTCTCATTCTGCTCCATCAGATTTGTACCAAGCAATTTGGAAAGGTTCCTATCCAAAGAAAGATTAATTTCTTCCTTTGGGAAACTAGCCTACACGCATTAAAAATGCACGACAAGCTCCAGAGATGAATGTCTTGTATGGCCTTATCTCCTCATTGGTGTCCTCTTCGCAAACTTTATAGTGAATCCATAGGGCATGTCTTCATCACTTGCCCTTCTTTTGCTGGTCGCTCACTCTCCCCGCAAATATGTCGCTTCTACTTGCTATTACTCTCCTTGGTTGATTTACTGCATTTACCAGAGCACGACTACTAGTTGCACATGAAAAAATTGAATTTGGTACTTGTAGATTGATGAAACTTGGAGGTAACTTTAGGAGTAGTATTGAATGCATGGTCTGGCCTTCAACTGAGGGAAGAAGAAAGCTCGTTATTTATGCAGGTCTAAGGAAAACTGGTTGGTTAGCCTTCTGGGATATGCTGAAGGGTCTTTTTTTTTTCCGCTCAACTATGAAAGGCCATCAACAAGGTGTTTTCGGGCCTTCCCACACCGAACCCCTAAAAGGTAAATTTGCAGTACAAGGTAGCATGGACACTTTATTGATGGAAAATAAGGAGGTTTCCTCTGAGAGTCCTTTAAAGCAATATTGGGTTAGAAAGGATTTTGAGGTCTTGAAGATAGATTGGGAAAACATCATGGTCATCTCGAAATTCAGTACCTCGGACAGTTGGAAGGATATCGTAGTGGCTGTAAAAGAAAAGTTCTCTCAAGAGTGTCAGATTGACCCATTTATGGCAGATAAAGGGCTTTTAAGGTTTGAGGATGGAAGATCGTTAAACTCAGAGTTTGTAAATGGCTCATGGTGAAAAGGTAGGAGAGTTCTATATAAAGCTAGAGAGATGGTGTTTTGAAGAACACTGTAGTAAGGAAGTGGTGGGGAATGCTTTGGAGGTTGGGTAAGGATTTGTGACTTGCCTTTAAAGTTTTGGAACAAGTAATGCTTAGAGGCAATTGGAATTCAGCTTGATGGTTTAAAGAAGATTTACCCTAAATCTCTTTGGATTGCTCAGAAGCTTTGATTCAGGTGAATTGGAAGAGAATATATGTTGTTTCTTATTTGCATTAATAGAAATTAACACACAGTTCGACAGCTTTATAGTTCGTGTGAAGGAGGTTGAGAGTCATGAGAAACAACAAAGTTTTATCTCCGATGTTGGTTGCAAGATCTTCAAATGTGTTTGATATTCAAAGACTTCATTTGATATTGTCAGATGACGAGCCTCTTCAAGGGTTCTCATCCGATTGAAGAAAAAATGAAGACCCAGAGGGTAGCCCATCAGTTGTTCGTATTTTAGAAAACATTTTGCTGAGTGATGGAATCTTGGACAAAAGTTTTAAGAATGATTCAATCTACCTCTTATTAATGAATGAGAAGCCTATATATAGAGGATTTTGAACTAACAGTAACTTATAATTACTAAGCAGTAAAAGGAAAACGTAAAAAAATCACAACCTATAAGTCACGTGAACAAGCTTATGACTAATAAGAGATGAGGGCAGCCAAAAAGGGAACTATAACTACATCACTGAGTCTCGTGACCAAGGAAATGAACAAAGTAAAGAATCTCAACCTTTGGAGGGTGATAACAACCAAGACAACTGACGATATGGTTGATAGCAGCCTTAGATTTAACCCTGATTTACTGCCGCCAAAGAAATTTCTTCCTCCTCTTCCTTTTTTTATTCGAAAAGAAAGAAGTACTCACCGAGGTTAGTGAAGGAAAGAAGAGGGATCCAGAAGGGTCATTCACCTCTAAGCCATACTATCATTAATTCAACAAGTGAGTAGTCAAATAAACAGTTCAAGGTTAACGATTTGTCTGATTATGATGAAGATTTCAATGTTAATGATTTGTCAGTAGTCAGGATTCAACAGGACTTTTGGAAGATCAAGAGGGTGTTAATGAAGATTTATTAGAGGGTTCCCTTACAGAAGATTTTAATTTGCTTTTTTTGCAGAAGATCAAGACCCTTTACGCTCTTCTGGCAAAATAGATACTCCTTCTCAGAAATAGCCTTTTGGTTGTCGAAAAGGCTTCTTGCGCTGATAATTAAAGTCTTCTTAAATTTTTTGAAGATGTAGGCCTTACTTTAGTTCCAATCACCGAATAGATAGACTTTAATTTAGGCTATCAGATTTTTGGTTGGTTCCACTCTGCAACAAGTTTTGAGGGTTCAGATCATTTGGTTTTCTTGTCTTTTCTTTGCGAAGGGAGGTTTGAGTTTCTTTGCTTCTTCATTCTAGCGGCCAGTATATGTTAAGCGGTTGTTTGGTTTCTTCCTCAGCATGCAATTTTTTCCTCCTCAATAGACCGTCCTTTTGGTTTGGCAAGCTTTGTTGTACTTCTAGCTTTTTGATATTTCATGGGCTTTAGATCTCGTCTATTTCCTTGTATTTTGGTTCGTACGTTTGGTTGCTTTTCTTATTTTTCGCTTCCTTTGGGAGCTTGTATCCTTGAACTTTTCCGTCCTTTTCATATTATTAATGAAAAGCTTGTTTCTTGTTTAAAAAAAGTCAAATTTCTCTTTTCTTAAAAAAGGGTATTCATGCCAGCTTGCTTTAAATTTGTCTATATTTGTTTTTTTTTTACTTTGGAAATTTACCTTTTTTTTCTTCATCTAATTACTTTTAATTTAACTCCTTAATTTAAATAAAACATATTTAATTAACCAAGAACTCTTTTGAATATTAAAAAAAGTCGAAGTTAATAGAAATCATATCAATCAAGGAAATTAAAAAAAAAAAATTATGTAGTAATGCAATTTAAACTGCTAGAGTATCATATAAAAAGGTACGGGGTGTTATACTTATAGTGGTCTAGGCTATTATTGTACTTTACGTGCTGTTCAGTTAGTTAAATTGCTGTTCATAACAATTAATCAAATAGTTTACAGCTTGTTAATTAGCTTCAGTTGATTTACTCAATTGTTAATTAGCTTGCCCCTCTTTTTTCTTTTATAAGATACATTTCATAGATGGTATGAAATATGAATACGATAGATGGGGAAGAAACACTCCAAGGGATGCTACAAGAAACACTTCCAATGGACAAAAGAGATGGTAAACTATAATTGTGACAGTATGAGGCATTTTTATAGCCCGTCATTGGGGAGTTTCAATATGTTCCGTGAGTCATGACTTTGGCAATCTATAAATATGTTCTAGATACCATCATGGTGTGGCCTAGTTGTCAATAAGAGCAATGTAAATAGCAAAGGGCTTAGAGGAAATGAATTCAAACCATGGTGGCCACCTACCTAGGATATCCTACGAGTTACCTTGGCAACCAAATGTATTAGGGTCAGACGGTTGTCTCGTGAGATTAGTCGAGGTGTGCGCAAGATGGCTCGGATACTCACGGATATAAAAAAAAAGAAGTTCTATGACTTGTATTCTCATTTTTGAACATTCTTGGGGAGTTCCAATATGTAGGCTTTATCATTAACAAAAGTTTTAATTATTATGTTCTACTCATTTTAGTACTAACTACTTTGAAGTGAGGTACCCTTCAGGCTTTTCATTTGCATGTCAGTATCTATTTAGTTAGTTTTCTGATATATGCTTGCCAATTTACAGGTAAAATCAAAACTGGAAGTTCTTAGTTCGTATGCTGATGCTATCGCGGGATTAGTGACCCATGGCTGGATAACGAAGATTGAAAAACATGGTTGCTTTGTCAGGTTTTACAATGGTGTTCAAGGTTTTGCTCCGAGGCAAGTCTGTTGCTGCATCCATATAGCTTTTGAACTGGTTATCATTCTGAGTTTGGTCTATAACTATATTTAGCTCGTTCATGAGATTTGTTTATTGTAGTAACAAATACTGCCATTGCATTTCTGGCTGTGAATAAGTAATACCCATCTTCCAAATATATTTGATGTAGTATTTTGTTTTCAGACGTGGCTATCCTGAACTTTACTTTGTTCATCTTCTCCATTTCTACTTACTTACAAGATAGAAATTAAGTTGCTCCCATATTCTTTTTGTCCCAGTTGACTCACGGGACATTCTAGGTGAATAAGTAATACCCATCTTCCAAATATATTTGATGTAGTATTTTGTTTTCAGACGTGGCTATCCTGAACTTTACTTTGTTCATCTTCTCCATTTCTACTTACTTACAAGATAGAAATTAAGTTGCTCCCATATTCTTTTTGTCCCAGTTGACTCACGGGACATTCTAGGTGTATAAATTATTATTCTTTTCTCCGTCCTTTTGTTTGTAGCAACTTCAAGTTTATTTTTATTTTTATTTTTACAAGAAACAAACTTATGTAGCAACTTCATAAGTTTGCTTGAATTTATAATGAGGAATGAAAATTACTAATGCTATTAGATTTATCTTTACATTTTTTGGAGAGGATTCTCTTTACATTCTCGTGTTGCAAATTCATGTATACAGTTATTTTGCCGCTTCTCTATGTGGAAGTTATGTATTGTTGGCTTGTAATGATATATCTAAACTTTTTTATTATTATTCAGATTTGAACTCGGAATAGAATCTGGTTCTGATCCAAGTTCAACATATCATATCGGGCAAGTCATCAAATGTAGAATAACAAGCTCTGTTCCTTCCTCCAAGCGTATAAGCCTTAGTTTTGTAATGAAGCCTGCAAGGTTTGATTCTATTTACCTCATATCCAGATGGGTGTGGTCATTTCATTGCTATATCTTGAACTTGAGGATAGACACTAATAAATGTCTCTGCAACTTTAGAAGTAGGTAAATGAACCAATAAGTACGATTCTTTTGTTAATTTTGTGGTCATGTACTGTTTCAGCCTCTAATTGGAATGCTGGTTTCTATAAAGTTTCTCTTTCCTTACCAAAACCTACAAGTAGGTAAGTGAAATATCCATCATGATAAAAAAAAACCGGATTTTATGTGAATGGGGAACTACTAGGAAATGGGAAAAACAAAATAGATTGACAACAGTTATTAGTTATCTTTGTCAATATCATTCGGAAAAAAAATCCTAAATATAAAAAAAAAGTTATTAGCCATCTTGTAAAAGAAAAAGTTAGTCTCGCTTATGATTTTCTACACTGGAACAAAGTTTTGGTGAGTTAGTTATTGCATGTAATAAAAGTTCTGACCTTTGTCAATATCATTGGAGAACTCAATTACAGGGTTTCTGGAGATGAAAAGGTTGAATTGGGTTCTATTGTTTCGGGTGTGGTTGATGAAATAACCCAGACCCACGTAACATTTTATATTAATAGAACCAGTTACTCGAGGGGAAGGATATCCACTGAACATTTGTCAGATCATCAGGGTATATATTTGCCTTTGCTTAATCATGCTCGAATGTTTCTCCTTTCTTTATGGATGTTATGTTTTGTGTAATTTCTTCATCGGCGATACTTTACTTGCAGTGCATGCTGCTTTGATGAAGTCTGTTTTGAAGCCTGGATATCAACTGGATAAACTCATTGTACTAGGTAATTTAATTATTTCACATTAATTGCAAATTCAAGTTTTAAGTTTCTTATTTTAAAAAATTCACTAGCTAGGGAAATGTTCGAGATATTTAGGATATTTGGCGGCCATATTTTTCATTAGTAAGTTAGGGGACTAGGGGTACTTGGAATATGGAAGTCACAATTATGGAACTAGAATAGTGAGTTGCAGACCTCTCAAATTCTAAAATTCTAAAAATGGGAGTGTTAGACCTCTCACATGTATGGCTAGATTGTAATCTTCTCTTATATGCTATATAATTATAGTAATTCATCTCAAGTCCTATCATTGTGCTATCCTAATTAGTGGAGGGAATGTTCAGTGAATCAATCTTTCCAATTCGTTGGGGAATAGTCACTTAGGTTTGCAAGCAAATTGAAAGTAATATTAAGATTTTTTTGCGGGAAGATAAGTCCAGTGGTTCTTTGAAGCACCTTGTCCGATGGAATCTTACTTCTTGAAAAAGAAACCACGTTGTATCAATGAAGCTGATGCAGTGGAACTCTTACTCCAATGACGTAGTCTGCTGTGAGGCTGAAGCTGATTCTCTGACAGCTTGGAACAGATGGAGTTGGTTGGTCCCCAGACAGTTCGAGCCGTTTGATAATAAAGTCTACTTTTACAAGCTTAGACCCCCTTGATTAATTTTAATATCCCCAAGAAAGTTAAAGCCTTTCTTTGTTAAATGCTCACGGCCATCTTTTTGTGCTCTGTGTTTTGCAAGCTGTGATTTTCAAGACCATCTTTTTTCCACTGTTCATTTGCCAAAAGATGTTGGGGGAAGTTATTCCAATTAATGATCTACGTTGGGTTTTTTCAGCAGTTTCCATTGCTGTAGCTTCTTCATGGTCCTTTCCCGTTTAATTTGGATCACCTTGGTCAAAGCCATTGCATATAAAATTTGGTTTGACAAGAGAGAATATTGGCTAGAATGTTATGAGCTAGCAGAATTTAAGCTCAGTGTTCACTTTCTAATCTTTTCAAAATTATTCTCCCAGTATTATATGTTCTTGGGAAGTTTTTATCTCCCTTTAAGCTGCAAAGAAGGATGCCGTACATGGCCATCTCTCCTCACTGGTGCGTCTTTTGTAAACAAAAGAGTGAGTCCACTGGGCATGTGTTTGTCACATGCGATTTTGCCAACAGCTTGTGGAGCAAATTGTCACTCTTTGACTGGTCAGTAGCTCTCCCCTCGGATATGCACACTCTGTTGACTCTCACTCTCACAGGACATCCTTTCACAAAGGAGAAAAAGCTGCTTTGGTTGCATTTGATTTGTGCTATGTTCTGGTCCATTTGGATGGAAAAAAACTACAGGACCTTCCAAGACAAAGAACACCCCCTCACCGCACTTTTGAATCTATGGTTCTTTTGGTTATCTCTTGGTGTAAATGCTTCCCTCTTTTTCATCATTATTGTATTGCTTCTGTGCTAGCCAATTGGGGGGCGTTTTTGTAAACCCTTCACGGGCTTCCATTTTTTGTATCTATTTTCATTTCATCAATGAAATTGTTTCTTCCCAAGAAAAATTTCGTTTCATTTCTTTATTTTTGTTTTGTATCACTCTCTCGAGAGTTTATATCTTTCAACATTGTATTCTTTTTATAAACTAGGCAATTTGGCCATTTCCCCTTTGGTGTGCTGCCGTTGTTTAAAGAATGGGGAAAGTTTAGACCATCTATTCCTCTACAGTCCTTTTGCTTCCATGGGTTGGGGCTCTTTTTTATGCACGAAGTTGGTGTTTTAAGTTGCTGGTCCAGATCAGTAGAAGAATGGATGGAGTCTCTTAACGGGTGGACCTTAAAAGGAAATCAAAGGTGCTACGAGTCTGTGTTGGTAGAGCCCTTCTTTGGGGAATTCATATAGAAAGAAATCAAAGAATCTTGAATTACCTATTCTTCTTGATGGAAAATCAAAGGTGCTATGAAGCTGTGTTGCTAGATCCCTTTGGAGATTTTTTTATTTTTTATTACTTTTTTATATTTTTTTTAATAAGAAACATGGAATAGATTCGTTCAAAAGAGAGAAGCAAGAGACAGCCTAGAGGCAGGGGTGGAGATCACCCCCCAAACAAACTGAATCAGAGCCTTCCAGTCATACAGAAAGAAATCAAAGAATCTTGAATCACCTCTTCTTCTTGATGTTCTAATGATAGAAAATTCTTTTGTCACAATCGGGGCTAAATATGGTAAAGCCTCATGGAACCTGAAACCCATCTCTACATCTCACAATGCTGCTAAAAGTTCATGGAAAGCCATCGTAAAGATACAGAATCTGATTTTTGATTGGTGGCCTATAAAATCGGCAATGGTAGGAACATATCTTTTTGGAATCACCCTTGGTTGAATGGCGTGCCCCTAAAACAAACCTACCAGCTTACTGATACATCATCTTGTTAGAATTTGGGCTTAAGGCGGGATCTTAAAGATGATGAAATAAATGAATGGGCAGTCGTTAGTTTTTAGCTCACATAGGTGCAATTGACTGCCGAAAGAGATGTCCTATTTTGGAAATTGGAGGCGAATGGCTCTTCTTCCACCAGCTTACTCACTAGGGATCTTTCACACAGCAACCAAACACCCGGAATTAGTCTCTACAACGCTATCTGGAAGGACAAGTGCCCAAAAAAGGTGAATTTTTTTTATTTGGGAGCTTAGTCACCATGCCATCAACACCAGTGACAAGCTCCAAAGAAGACTTCCCTACATGGCTACTTCTCCTCAGTGGTGCATCATCTGCAAGGCCAGCTTGGAGTTTCAACAACATCTCTTTACCACCTGCACTTTTGCTATTGTTTTTTGGAGGACCATCCTCAACGCTTTTGGTTGGTCCACAGCCTTGCCTAATGACCCCCAACTTCTCCTTGAGGCCACTCTTGTCGGGCACCCTTTGAAAAATGAAAAGGAAAAGCTTTGGACGAATTTTATTTGAGCTTTTCTCTAGACTACATGGGGTGAAAGAAATCAAAGGACCTTCAAAGACAAGCTACAATCTTTTGAGCGTTTTTTTGATGCTATAGTTTATAAAGTTGTCACTTGGTGTAAAAGCTCACCTATTCTTCATCACTATAGCTACACTTCCCTTGACTAATTGGAATTGTCTTATGTAATCCACTGACGGGCTTTTTGTAATTTCATACATCAATGAAGTTGTTTCTTAAAAAAAAAATTCTTTTGTCACTACAGCTTATCGATGAAGATTGAAGGCCTTGCTATACTAGTTTCTTTGGGAGGGGGCCTTCCCATTTTTTCTTATGAAAAAAGGTTCTAGGTTCAAAATCAACGGGTCCATCTTTCAAATTGGTAGGCAAATGGTCCAGCATGATGATAACAATCTCTAAAGATTGGGTTGGTTTTGTAGAAAGGATCTCAAGTCTTTTATGGTTTTCTTTTTGTTCAGGTTTTCAGATGCAGCTTTCATCTCAGTTGTTTACTTCTGTATCGTTTCAGTTTCTCGTTTGTTCTTTTTGTTTTCTGCTCTCTTTGGGAGCTTGTTTCCTTGAGAAATTTGCTCCATTTTAATATATCAATAAAAAGATTGTTTCTATGTTGAAAAAATAAATTGGTACAGGAATAGTCGATGGCATTTAGATTCCAGTATTCTGTTGCAGCCTTTCAAGTAGCACACTTCTATACAAGACCTATGTCATCCCTTTCAAGTCTATGTTAGTAATTCTTGAGTAATTGATATTCGATTGTGTCGTTGTCGGTAGAAATATCTATTGACATGCTTCTTAAATTAAGTTCAGAGTAATTGACATCAAAATATAAATTGTTAAAACCAATTGGACTAACTTTTTGCATCCATTGCTCAATCATGACAACCATCAGAAATATATTTCAGTAATCACTGAAATCTTATAAGAGGTAGCCTCATGGAAATTGACATAGTTGACACGATTTTCATTAGATACGAGATCTTTCCATTTTTCCTCTCAATTTCTGAAGATCAGATTCAGTAAGGTAAGTTCATAATTAATTATATTCATGTTATGAACATTTTTTCTAGTAGGAGAATAGCACTTCGACCCTTTTTGAGGGGTGAGTAGTCTTGGTTGTGATATTGAAGAGCTCTAGAACAAAATTTACTGTCTTCTCTAGTTGGAAGATGGGGGTTATTTTTCTTCCCCCTTTTTAACGTTTAAATCTAGATATTGAATGTACTTTGAAAGTATTAAATATTTAAAATGTGGCAAAATATGTACACATATGTCCCTGCATGTCATGTTGTACCATTTTAGGAATTGATGTATCTTATCTGCATCGCATGTTCATGTTTGTGCTTCTTAGCACATTATTTTCACCACTAGCATGCATGCATTGCAATGATCATTGATTTACGTTCCTAAATATTTTTTGAAGTACTCTTTCCAGTAAAGTGAATGGAGAGTTTTATTTTATTTTTTTTAGATAAGAAACTAGTATATTCCAAAAGGAAGACAAAAGGAACAACCTAAGGATTGGGGTGGAGGAAACCCCACCCAAAAGAACTAAACAACCGCTTTCCAATTGTACAAAAGCATGAAAAGGTCGTAGTTACAAAAGAATTTGCTATAGTTGATGCACCACCAAGAGGTAGTAGTGTTTTGTACATTTCTACAAAAAATCTCAAAAGAAGAAGACTTATCTTCGAAGACCTGAAGGTTCCTTTCCAACCAAAGGTGCCAAAGGAGAACTCTCGAAGCACATATCCACAAAAACTTAGCTTTTTTTAGGAAGAGTCTAACCATGCAGTGCCGCGGCAAACCAAATATCTATACGATTAGGGAAACAAAAAGACAACCCGAAGAGATCCATGTTAAAGAGCCATCATTGAGCCGCGAACGTACAGTGAATGAAGATATGATCAATTGATTCAGTGTTGGTCATACATAAACTACAAACAGAGGGGGAGAGCACCAATTTCTGCACTTCTTTTGAAGCTTCTCATAGGTGTTCAAGCTTCTGTGTGCTAAGGACCACATGAACAGCTTGACCTTTCTTGGAGAGGCAAACTTCCAAATAGCGAATGAGAGAAGATTTCAAAGGGGGAGTACATTCCACCATCTTCATACAAGCAGACCTAGTAGAGGCTCACTATGTCGACGGCTTGGATCAGACCCATCCAACTTTCTACTTCCCAGTCAACGAGGCCTCTTCTGAAGCCTAGATCCCAATCGTTCTCAGAATTATTCCAGCAATCAGCAATTGTAGCCCCCTTTTCTGTGGTGATATTAAACAAGTTGGGGAAGGAGTTTTGGATGCTCCCTTTTCTGTGGTGATATTAAACAAGTTGGGGAAGGAGTTTTGGAGGGTGTTTTGTCCTCTATCCAATTGTCTGTCCAGAACTTGATACGGTTCCCTTTTCTCACTTTAAACACCAAGAACTTAGAGAAAAACTACAATTCTTCATTATATCAAACCAGGGTCTCCCTTTCGCTCTACCTTTGGGAGGAAAGTGAATGGAGAATTTTAAATGTTGCATCAAATTGTTTCTGTTTTGTTTTATGTAAAAGTTGATGGCACTTATTCCAATTTACGATTGTATCAGTATAACTTCCAAGCTCTTTGATGTATTGTTAGGGCTAATACCATTTTCTGTTGTTTCCTCTGCTATCAATATAATTACAGTTTTTTTTTTTTTTTAAATTGTAGCTTTTTTATCCTTTTAAGTTCAATCATGATTTAGAAGTTGCTTTGGTAATTCTTCTCCCCATGATTATTTCAGATATTGAGGGGGAAAGTTTAATCCTCTCTGCAAAACAGTCTCTAATCAATTTGGCTCATCAGCTTCCATCTGACTCGAGTCAAGTAAATCGATATTCTGTTATCCATGTAAGTGGCTAAAACATGCAAAAATGTCACAAACATCAATGTAATTTCGATGTGAATGCTCTTACTCTGAACTTTAATTGATTCCATCAATCGATTTTCTGTACCAGGGATTCATTTGTAACATTATAGAAACTGGTTGTTTTGTTCGCTTTCTAGGACGTTTAACTGGCTTTTCTCCACGTAATAAGGTAAAATTTTGGATATTGAAAAGAAGATATATTTTTAATCCATATTATTTGAATTTTGTTACTTTCAAATTTTAATCTATTCATTCTTACTTTCTCAGGCTATTGAAGATCAAAAATTTGATCTACATGAAGCATTTTATGTTGGACAATCGGTTCGTAGTAATGTAGTTGATGTAAGTGACGAGTTTTTTAGGCCGAGTAAACACATCAGTTGAACAAAAAGTATTTATGTATACCTCATATGTATTTCCATTTTAATATTTCAGGTGATTAATGAAACGGGTAGAATTACACTTTCTTTGAGGCAGTCGACTTGTTTTTCAACTGATGCTTCCTTTATGTTGGAATATTTTATGACCGAAGAGAAGGTACATGTGTTGGGGGGTAACTACGGTTTATGTTGTTGACAAATATTATTATCTATTGTGATATTAATATCCATGAAATAGTTGAACTCTCAAACTTAAACTTATGTCCGTAGAAATATGGATGAAACGTTGATGCAGAGAGATATTCCAAGAAAAGTCATGAAAGTTAAAATTGACAAGTAACAGGTCAACACACTTGTTATGCACTTGTGTTTTGCCAAAATTCCTAATATTTCCTTATATTCTTGACATTTCATCCATAATTCCATGGTACACCTGAAAAGAGATGTTCCTTTATATTGTATTGGACGATTGAATCTACAGAACTTTCAATGGAAATTACTCTATGACTGGAACCATAGGATTTTTAGAGGGCTAGAGAGATCTAGGAAGGGAGGAGGTGTGGGTCCTTGTCCAGTTCATGTCTCCTTTTGGGCCTCGGTGTAGTTTTTTGTAATTATACCATCGCTCGTTCTTTTAGTTTGGCTCATTGACTGTTTTTTGTATGCCCCTTTTTATTCTCTCATTTTTCTCATTGAAAGCTCCGCTTTTCATAAAAAAAAAGTTACTCACGATGATATTCTTGTTCTGTTGTTGGCGTGAAGCACTTGCAGGTTCTTTTTGAGCTTAATGTTTGACTGGTCTTGCCTTTTGGTTTAGTTGTCCTTTTAAATTGGTCGTCTATGTAATTACTGTTGTTAGGTTTCTGCTTTCCATTAAACTTGTCTGAAATAGTGAACAAATTACATGCAGTTGATCTTTCAAGGCCTTTCATATCACGTATACTCTATTTGTACTATCCATATCAGCTAATTTGCCTACACTCTTGACTGCTTTGAATTCACCTGATTTTATACAGATTGCAAAACTTCAATCATTGGATGAATCAGACTGGGCAGAAGAATTTGCAATTGGTAGTGTGGTTGAGGGAAAAGTTCAAGAGGTCAAGGACATTGGAGTTATTATCAGCTTTGAGAAGTATCATGATGTTTTTGGTTTTATTGCACTCCATGGATGTATGTTCCATTGTATGTTTTTATTATCGGGCTGATTTTGATAGACAACTGCTAGTAATTATTGTGATTTAATGTGTGCAGCAAGTGGGTCCACAGTGGAAACGGGTTCTACCATTCAGGCTGCGGTTCTTGATGTCTCCAGAACCGAACGACTTGTGGATTTATCCTTAAAACCCGAATTAGTTGATAAACGCAAGGGACAAAATTCTAGCAGGAAAACTAGTAAAAAGGTGAAGCCTAATATTCATTTTTAATTATATATATATCTATGTCTCTCTTACTCTTTCTTTTGTGCTTCTTACAAGAGAGCTGTAATTATATTCCTTACCCTTTCTGTAGTGCTTCTGACAAGAGATCTGAAGTCGTACAAGCCCTTTTTTTATTCTTTATTTTAGTTTCTATTTATTTTTTATTATTGAGCTGTTCAAGTTCTAATATTCTTTCTGTTAATACTATTTCTCATTATTCCGAGGTGATAATATCTCTCTCCCTTGGATTTGACTTTATGATATATATACATGCTTTGGTACCAGAAACGGAAGGTCGAAGCATTGGAGGATTTAGAGGTGAATCAGACTGTGCAGACTTTAGTGGAAGCTGTGAAGGAAAACTATCTGGCAAGTTTTGTTGTTATTTTTTAGTCTCTTTTTTTCCAAGAAAGAAAAAAAATACCGCAGAAATGATATTTGCATGTTGTTTCACTCTTGTCTTCTCATTTTCATTTTACGTCATTATAGGTTCTTTCACTGCCAGAGTATGGCTATACTATAGGTTATGCATCTACATATGATTACAATACCCAAAGGTTTCCTCAGAAACAATTTACAATCGGACAAAGGTAAAAACAGTATGTTATTTTTCCACCTTTCACCAAAAAAAAAAAAATGTTGGGAGTCTGGGGACCATGGTTTTCTTTCCTGTGCTCTGATGACATTTTTTCTGTCATATTGTCTTCGGCATTTGGAGAGTTGGGAGTCGGGGACAATGGTTTTCTTTCCCCTGCTCTCGGGTTTTACCATGGTCTAGTTATTGGGGGTTCTTAGTACTGGGCTAGTTAAAATATTAGTCATTTAGCATTGCACTCGTATCTGTATAATCTTACAAGTGGTTTTCAACACGAAATCAATGCAGCGTTGTTGCTTCTGTTGCGGCTCTTCCGTGTCCCTCAACATTTGGAAGGCTGCTTCTGCTTCTGAAGTCAATAAGCGAGGCCATTGTTACTCCTGGTTCCAAACGATCGAAAAAGAACTCTTCATGTGAAGTGGGATCTCTTGTTCATGCAGAGGTAGGTGTTTTTCTCCAGTCTTTACGTTTGCTTGAACTTTTGGGACCTCATTCTCAGTTCATCAATTAGTAATGCAAGCGTCCAAATCAAGTTAAGGAAATTGACAAATTGTATATAGTAGACTTTCTTATTTGATGTAATGGTTTCCAGATCACTGATATTCAGCCTCTTGAAATGAGATTGAAATTTGGAGTTGGGTTACGTGGACGAGTTCATGTCACAGAGGTAAGTTAGTGAATTTATTTTCCAGCAATGTTCAGACCTGTATGTGCAATCTTTTGCTATTTGATGATTATCATGTTCTACAATCTTTGACCAGTGCTGCGCACAGGTAAGTAATGAGCATGATGAAACTTCAGAAGCTCCATTTAGTAACTTCAGGGTTGGACAAACAGTAGTTGCAAGGATTGTTGCAGAGGCTAATCGTGCAGCTAACAGAAGAAAGGGCTACCTATGGGAGTTGTCTGTTAAACCTGAAGCTCTTAAGGGTAAAGCAAATATATGTTTATTTGATAAAACATTTTTTAAAATATTCATTTTCTTTAACTCTACTTAATTCAGGGAGTCAGCTTTAACTCATAAACTGTCGTTTTCATCACATTTAACCTTAGATTGGAATAATTGGTGCATTTCTTGTGGTTGGATGATCTTAATTTTTTTGGTTATTAGTTCTTTTGGCTGTGTTAAATGTTTCTTTAGTTAGATTTGGACATTTTGTCGCTGAGTTTGAGTGCTGTATTACATGTTTGATTTCGTGACTAAGCTCGGGTAATCATTTTCTTCTTATGAACTCTGCCTATGGAACAAATTCCTTTGATTTAAATGTGGTACTTTTTTCAGGTTCCCTAATAGGTTGCTTTATTTGTTTGTTGTCTCAGAAATATATTTCCAGTCTTACTTATTTTCCTATTTTTCAGGTGTTAATGTGCATTTATTAATAGCATTTACTTTCTCCAACTTGAGTAAAATTGACAATGAAATTTCTAATGTGTGATATGAAACCAGATTCCAGTGGTGTGGTAAGTGAGATTACAAATGAAGATTTGGGGTTTTCAATTGGACAACGAATCACTGGCTATGTTTGCAATGTCAGTGGTGAGTGGGCTTGGTTAGCTGTTACTCGAGAAGTGACTGCCCAACTATTTATTCTTGATAGTTCTTGCGAGCCTACTGAACTTCAAGAGTTTTCCAAGCGCTTCAATGTTGGAAGGGCTGTTTCTGGTCACATATCTAACATTAATGGCGAGAAAAAAATCTTACGGTTGGTTTTGCGTCATTTATCTACCACCCCAAGAGGAAGAATTGATCAAGAAAATTTTAAGATAAGTAATTTGCCGACGGAAATTATAAGTAAGAAAGTCGCATGTCATTTCAATGAAGGAGACATTGTTGGTGGAAGAATATCAAAAGTACTTCCAGGTGTTGGTGGGCTGCTTGTTCAAATTGGTCCCCATATGTCTGGCAGGGTTCATTATACAGAAATTACTGACAGTTTGGTGCCTGATCCGTTGTCTGGATATAGTGAAGGACAATTTATCAAGTGCAAGGTTATAGAAATTGCCCATTCAGTTAAAGGTACAACACATATTGATTTGTCACTACGATCTTCAGCTGGCCTCCTCTATCAGAACAATGTAGAACACAGTAACCATGAGTAAGTTCTTCTAGTTTAGTATTTTGGATATCATCTTCGGTGTTGATAACATGATTATATAATTCTTATCTTGGAATTGGATACGACATGAATACATATCTTGAGTAGATTTTGAATAAAGCATCTATGGTGGTCTGCATCTATTTATTTAATTTGATCAATGCTTTCTGAATATAAGCACCTTTTCTTTTGTAACAAATTCACTCCTGTATCTTTCAGTTTAACTCTTTTTAAGCTTTTAAGATCAGTGGGAGCATAATATTTCTGGAAAAAATAACTTTATCTATTATTTTCACTTTTGGCTTCATTCCTGTTGGATCACGAGGAAATACAAGAAATGAATGTAATTTGGAAAGAAAAATAAAGGGAATGCTTAATGATTTCTTGAATTAATACTAATATATGTATTATTCATACTTTCCTGATTGTTGGTCATCTTGCATTGTATTAGCACTATTCATCATTGAGCATTGAACGTGGAATTCCTTAGATATCTTGTCGTTTGAAATACTGAGGTAGTTTTGAAACAAAAATCAGAAGCATGCAAAATGATTTCTTGACTTTCCATTGATATACATGTTCTTTCTACTTTGGCATCTTGTTTATTACATGGATTAATATCTATCTAGTCCCATTCTCTGAGGGCATGGAACATGACATTTCTTTTGGATTTATTATCATTTGAATTGTCTTGGTTCGATCGTTGGTTTGATAAGCTTTCCTTGGTTCCATCATTCATCTAAGGAACACATGAGCTATTGGATTGTAAAACCAATTCAAAATTTCAAACTAAAAATTTTCTGGCTATTTAATACTGTAGTAGTTATTCTAAGAGTTATTAGTACGGTTAGAATGTTCTATTTTAATGAGAACAGTATTTCTGGATTTGATTATTCTATACTCGTATATGTGGGAAGTATATTTATTTGTAATTATTATTATATCCTACGTAGTTGCTCTTGCTCTAAAACCGCACAAGCTATGGTTTTTTTTTTTTTTTTTTATGTTGTTATTTCTGTTATTGTTACTAAGCAAAAGACATCATCCATATTACTTAACTCTTTTCCAGAAATATTTCTTCCCAACGAGTGGAGAAGATAGAAGATCTTCATCCCAATATGGAGGTTCAGGTATAATTTTTTGTAAACATATGCTCGACATGAAGTTGTGTTTCTTTTGGTATTTTTTACATAAATATACTATATTTTAATTTTATTGTGGGTTTAAATGTATTATTCCCTACACGTGCTGTAGTTTTATCCTTCTCCAGGTCATGTATTGGACTCTTCATTTGGAAATCAGTAATTTTCACTTAATCTAATAGATTTCAATTTGGAAATGAGTACAATTTTGAAGAAAGGATAGCAAGTGACTATAGTCTAGTGTTTAACCCTAGTGTGGATTCCTTTTTTGTCCATCTCCACTCGTTGGAGTGTTGGGCTGGAAGTTTGGCCATCATGCCTACACGCAGTTTGTCTGATTTGTCAGATATTTCTTCTCTCTTTAGCTCTTGTCGCTGTATTTTCTATGTTTTTCTTGTTCAGTCATTATATCAAGGATAGCTGGCCTAGTTGTTTTATCTTTCCTTTTTTTGCTTGGTTTTTGGTTTTTGAATGTCTATATACCATATGTGTGATGTTTTTGCTTAGATGATTCAGAGAAAATGATTTATTAAAAATGTATAGTCTTCTGTTTCTTTTTATTGTTACACATTACAAGGAGGGACAGTTTTAATTGAAGTTTTTAGTTGCAGTGATTTTATTTATACTCTTTGGAATCTTGCCTAAGTTCCTATTGCTATGTGTGTGGATTTGATAGGGTTATGTGAAAAATGTTTCTCCGAAAGGATGCTTCATTTTGCTCGCGCGGTGCTTGGAGGCAAAAATCCTCCTATCTAATTTATCTGACGGATATATTGATGATCCTGAGAAGGAGTTCCCCATCGGAAAACATGTCCGTGGAAGGTAAAACAAATTTAACTTATTGTGACATGTTTTTCTTACCGTTCTAGTCTTTAAGAGAAACTAAGAACCCAAAATGCAGGATATTGTCTTTGGAGCCTTTGTCAAAGCGAGTTGAAGTCACCCTGAAGTCGGTGACTAAAAATGGTGCATTGAGAGCAAATAATTATGATTTAAGAAGTTTTTCTGCTGGAGAAGTTATATCTGGAAAGATTAAACGGGTGGAGTCATTTGGTTTGTTTATCACCATTGATGATTCGGATGTGGTGAGGATCTACTTTATCTGGTGCTAATTCAAGTTGACTAAACATCAAACAGTGCTGAAGTGTTTCTTCGTTGTTTAAAATATGTTTACGTTCAATATAAAGCTGATTTTTGTTGGCAATTTCAAATCATCTCTTTGGAGTTAGCCTTATTGGATTGTATCTTGAACTTTGAACAAATTTGCATGTATAATAATGAATTATTAACTGGGTATTTTCTTTTCAACACAATTCACATTCACTTCATTTGACCTGATTATTTGCATTTTATAGGTTGGGCTGTGTCATGCGTCAGAAGTTTCAGACGATCGTATTGATAATCTAGAATTTAGATACCATGCTGGGGACAAAGTGAAAGCAAAAGTACTAAAGGTACATATTGACCCTGACCGTAAAGGAACTGCCTTCATCTTCTTTTATGAATATACAAGTGAAAGTATGTTTCCTGTTCTAGTATAGCACCAATGGATTTTTTTTTTCTGATGAGAAACAATATTTCATTGATGGTATGAAATATACAAAAGGCCAAATAGGCATCTTGTTTTTGGAACCATCTCCTCACTGCATTTGGATGGAAGACAGCCCTCCACAAGAAGTCATCAACCTTTCTTGATCAAGTTTTGGCGAGACACTCTTCCAAGAAGGAAAGAGCAACTCTATGGGTACAGTTTGTTCGGGCATTTCTTTGGAACTTATGGTTGGAGAGGAACATTAGGGTCATTAATGACAAAGCCCTTCCTTTTGACATCTTTTTATACTTGGAAGCAACAGATTTGGTCTAATTATTGATTTCCATTAATATTACGCAAATGTTTAACCTATGATTCAATGCATTATGGGCTTTTTTAATTATTCATTCTCAGATTACGCAAATATTGTCTTTGTCTTAGATAAAGTTTTATCCAGCTCTTCTGAAAACTGAATTTTCCATTATCCACATCTTGTGTTTTGTAATATTTATTGTTGTCCTCAAACCTTTATTTCAAGGTGGATGAGAAAAGACATAGAATTGCTCTGGGAATGAAGAGTTCATACATAGGAGAAAGCAGTGAAATTTATACGCATGTGGAACAAGAGCATGACGATGTCACTGATGACGATGATCTTATTGGTGATATTAGACTGCCAATGCATCTAGATAGCAGTTCAACCATGTTCCAGAATATGGATATTGAATTGGACAGTGTTGAGCCTGAACAGCCACTTAGTCTAGCAGAATCAAGGGCTTTTGTTCCTCCACTTGAGGTCAATCTTGATGATGTAGATGAAACTGATATGGATGGTTTACGGTGCGAAAATAAAGAGTTGGTGAGTGTTGCAGACTCTCCAAGGGAAAAGGACAGACGAGAGAAGAAAAAAGCTAAAGAAGAAAGGTAATACATCTCTTTCATAATTGTAGAACATTTTTCTTTATCCTTGTTGGTCTTTCATGTTTCGAATTCCTGCAGGGAAAAAGAGGTGAGGGCTGCTGAGGAAAGATTATTGCAGAATAATGTGCCAACTACTGCTGATGAATTTGAAAAATTGGTCAGAAGCTCTCCTAACAGCAGTTTTGTTTGGATAAAGTATATGGCATTCATGCTATCTATGGCTGATGTGGAGAAAGCCCGTGCAATAGCTGAGAGGTAATACTGAAACCAATATATTTTTTGAGTTTAAATTCTGCAAAATGAAGCAAGTAGCCAAAATTTGTTTGATTTGTATTATATAATCATTATGCACAAATAAAATCTTTCTCCTTGTTCCCTGGGTGGGGATAGCGCATTGGTAAAATCTTGGGGTTTTGTGGTACCACCTACCTTGAGGTCTCAAGTTACAAGTCCTGTGTTGGTCACAATGTTGCTCAGCCTAGGCAACGAGCTCTGGTTATAGAGGATCATTAGCGTAAACCACACATCATGGATTATGGGAAATGAAAAAAAAAATACATTTCTCTTTAAATTCATGCAACATTATTATTATTTTTATGTGTCTTATGTAATAGATGATAAATGTTCTTGTGGTCACTATCGTCATCGAGATTATTGATACTATTAATTTTTGTTATTCTATCTGTGAAGGGCTTTGAGGACAATCAATATTCGGGAAGAGAATGAGAAGCTTAATGTCTGGTTGGCTTACTTTAATCTGGAAAACGAATATGGAAATCCTCCAGGGGTAATAGAAATAGATAGCTACTTCTTCATTCCACTTAGAACCCAAGTTTTTGCTGGCATTGCTCTTTCACAAATAACAACCCAAGTTTTTGCTGGCATGCTCTTTCACAAATAACTGAATCTTCGGTATTTTATTTGATTTTTTCTACAGGATGCTGTAACCAAAATTTTTCAACGAGCGTTGCAGTGTAATGATCCTAAGAAGGTTCATTTAGCGTTGCTGGGAATGTATGAGAGGACAGAGCAACATAAGTTGTCAGAGGAGCTCCTGGACAAGATGATCAAGAGGTTCAAACATTCTTGCAAGGTAATTAACTATTTTTTACCATAATTATCTTCGTATAGTTAGGGTGCTTAGTTGATATGTTGTGTCGTTTCTTTTTTCTTTCCTTTGTTTTGAGAAACAAATCGATTAGTTTCTATTCATATTTTTCTTGTTGATTCTTTTCGGTCGAGATGTATGGATCCATGGGACTAATGATGCCTGAGTTTAGCATACCTTTTCAAACTTAAAAGGACTTCTTTTAGAAAGTATTTCTCCTTGAACACTTTTAATAAAAGTGTTTTTAATTAGAACACTTGAGTGTTTGGCTACTTTCTTTTAGGTGCTTTTATTTACAAATTTGTTTGGTTCACATTAACTCAAAATTGTTTTTTTTCCTTGACTGCATACTTTAAAATCACTTTTGAGAATCATCTATCAAGTTCTTAAAAAAAAGTGTTTTTAAATCAATGGTATTTTAATCGTGCTTTTTGTTTGTCACCAAACATTGCATATTAAAAAAGAAACTTATAATCGTACAAAATCATTTAGGATGCCATGTCAAACACACTAATCAAACTATCAAAGTTCTCTAATTGTCTTTTTACCCAGGTTTGGCTAAGGCGAATCCAGAGTTTGTTAAAGAACGGACAAGATGAAGTTCAATCAATCGTAAACCGTGCACTACTAAGCCTTCCACGACGTAAGCACATTAAATTTATCTCACAAACAGCTATTCTTGAATTCAAATGTGGGGTGGCAGATCGAGGTCGGTCAATGTTTGAAGGAATTCTTCGAGAGTACCCAAAGAGAACGGACTTGTGGAGCATCTATCTTGATCAAGTAAACTATTTTTACTGAATAAGTTCTTAATCTCTTAAAGTGGAAGGGCAAATTCTTATAGTATTTATCTGCCAATTTTCCAGGAAATTCGGATTGGTGATGCTGATATGATACGTGCTCTGTTTGAGAGGGCAACTAGTTTATCTCTTGCTACCAAGAAGATGAAGGTGTGTATAGTTGTCTATGCCCTCCCTGGGCCTGTCTGTGCCATATTAATGTCTTTGAATTTATCGAGAATAACCATTTTGGTCTCTATACTTTCAAAATCTTAAGTTTAGTCCCGAAACATTCAAAAGCTAACCAAGTTGGTCCTATTATTAATTTGCTATTAGCCCATCTCTGTGGCTGCAATACATGCCATTAGCATATTAATACAAAATTTTCAAGTCAACAAAATATAGACAAGGATTAGAAGGTCTCTTTTTCTTAAAAACTAAAATAGAATAAATCTAAAAGTTCTATTAGGGACCAATGAGATTTAAACCATATTTGGCTTTTGGCTAAGCTTCAATCTTGTGTGTTTGCAGTTCTTATTCAAAAAATATCTGGAATATGAAAAGTCTGTTGGTGATGAAGGACGGATCGAATCGGTGAAGCAAAAGGCACTGCAATACGTCGAGAGTGCACTAGCCTGATGAATTTCAACCAGCTGCACTTCATTTGCCATGGCAGGTTAATTGCAAAAGCAGACACCATCCTAGAACTCGAAGATCTAACTAGCGTCGTTTGACTAAGAACTCGACAGCGCCCCCACATTTTTGTTAGTTGTGAAGTGGAGGGGTTTGTATGAGTATTTTCCTTCTGAAGTTCTCAGTTATGGTAATCAGACAAAGTAAGATTGTATTCTCCCTATCCCAATTTTGTATCATATTAAGTTTCTCTTACAATTACAACAAGAACAACTACATTTTTTTGCTGGTTTCAGTGAAAATTTGTCTCATATTTTTTTATTCTAAAGTGGTATGATATAAACCTGAGAACCATATAACAATTGGGGATTGCAAAAAAACCAACCTCATACTTTTCTTTTTTCGAAATTGTTAGCTTAATTTGGAATGTTGCTTCCACAGCTGTCCATAGACATTCTTCATGAGCCTGTTATAGGAAAATATCCATGGCTATGTCAACTTAGATTTTGATTTTGATTTTGATTTTGATTGAAAGGATGCATGTAGAAAGGCAAAATAGTAGTATGCTTGATATTTTGAGTAAAAGAAAATCAGAAAATAATTATATGAGCGTAAGATGGAGTGATGTAAATAAATTAAGATGGAGTGATGTAAATAAATTAAAAGAAATGGAAGATGTATTTTTCTCCTATAAAATATGGTAAATTTGGAACCTTATATATTTTAATTTCAAATCTTTTTAAATCCAACCTATTTGAAATGGAAAACTTTTGAACAAAAGATGTGATTTCAAATAACACAACGACGGCCTTTGGTTTTTATATGCCTCTATACTTGGAGTCATTATTTGATAGAGTTGCGTTCCATGTGACTTAACCTAATATTTCAAGGATATTCCTTTAGGTCCCCAGCCAACTAAACTATCACGACTTCATTTCTTAAATAAATTATACATCTTATTATTTGCATTCATATTCATATTGGTGATTAACTGACAATATTTTTCATTTTTAGTGGATACTTATATGAGATATAGAAGATATTGGTTGATCTTAAATATCGATCTCAAACCTTCCTATTTATAGATATATCGGGGGATATATTGACATCAGGTGGATATTTTCATTCTTGCATGGAGGTCGATTTACTTGTAATGGTACAATATCATAGGTAAAAGAGGAGTCTAGGAGAAAGGACATT